CACCCCGCTGCCCACAGCCACAGCCCCACGTTAATCCACCTTCTCAGATCTCACCTTCTCACCTCTGGACGTGGCTGCGTAGCCCAGTGAATTCGTGAGTTTCTGGGGGGACATCTCATATCCAAACCCTAACATCTCAGGGCCAGAGACCCCGGACAAACGAAAACAGCCCATGGTCCCTCAGCTTGTTCATGGTGTGAAGGGCCACTGCGCTCCAGCTGAGGCAGAGGGTGACAATTAGGCAAAAGGGTGGGGCATGGCCCCAGTGCAGCTCAGGAGACCAGCTCAGAGCTGGAGCACACCTGGGGGCGTCGCTCACACCTGTCACTGTAGAGTGGTGTGACAGCACCCACAAGCACCTCCCACACACAAGACAGGAATGTCCCAGCAAGGAACGTGACCTCTGCATAGCCTGGGAAAACCATGCCAAAATGTCCCTAACAGCACAGCCCGTGACAATCACAAGCCAGACTGGAAACGAGTGTCTGACAGTAGCAGAGGGGCTACAGCAATGATCCCACCCACAGATGGGACCCCGCAGCTCGGTCACAACAAACATCTCTCACGCAGAGAGCTGCCATGTGACCAGCGGGGCAAGAGCACAGGCTGTTTTCCCAGAGAAGCCAGAGCCCAGCCCACTCCAGGGAGGACATGGGAAGCACGTGTTCCTGTGACTCTCACCAGTCTCTGCGTCTTTGTGACCAGGTGGGTTTTTATAGAACATATGACACAGACATGCTGCATTTCACAAAAATTAGGATGCGTTAGCAGGTGATCTGGGTGGTGAGATTGTAGCCATTTCTTCACTTTTTTTAGTGATAAAATGTGACAAAAAATTCACCATCGTTCCCATTTCTTCAGAGAGCTACTCAGGGCGCAGAAGTAATTACCTTCACATGGTCAAAGACTAGCCACCCCCAGCCTGGCACTACCCAAGCTGAACTTCACAGGTTCCCCTCCTCCCCCAGCCCCAGTAACCTCAGAAGTGGGACAGTTGGATCAGATGGTCATCCTAAGAATTGGACTCATGTAAATGGAATCATGTCATTTATCCTGTGTCTGGCTTCTTTCATTTAGAAAAATTCCTCAATGGGGCTGGGGATGTGGCTCAAGCAGTAGCGCACTCGCCTGGCATGTTTGGGGCGCTGGGTTCAATCCTCAGAACCACATAAAATAAAGATATTGTGTCCACCGAAAACTAAAATAAATATTAAAAAATTCTCTCTTCCCCCTCCTCTCTCTCTCAAAAAAAAAAAAAAAAAAAAAAAGAAAAAAGAAAAAGGGCTGGGGTTGTGGCTCAGTGGCAGAACACTTGCCTAGCATGCGTGAGGCACTGGGTTCGATTCTCAGCACCACATATAAAAAAATAGACAAATAAAGATCCATCAATAACAAATAAAATATTTTTTAAAAAAGAAAAATTCCTCAAAGTACATCTATGTTGTAGCTGTGTCAGAATTTCCAATTTCCCTTTTTTTTCCCCCCAGTACTGGGTATTGGACCAGCGGCTCTTAACTTTATATTTATTTTGAGACAGGGTCTTGCTAAATTTTGAGGCTGTCCTCAAACTTGCAATCCTCCTGCTTCAGCCTCACAAGTCACTGGGATTACAGGTGAGCACCACCCCGCCCAGCCAATTTCCTCCCTTTTAAAGCTGAATACTATTCCACTGTCTGGCCCAGCCACACTCTGCTTACCCATATGCACTCAATAGGTAGATACTTGGTGGCTTGTACCTTTGGGCTACTGTAAACACTGCTGCTATGAGCACAGCTGGACAAGCATCTGCTCAAGTCCTTGCTTCCATTCTCTTGGGTGTTTACTCAGAAGTGGGACAGTTGGATCAGATGGTCATATTGTTTATATTTATGAACCATCAGGCTTATTTCCACAGGGGTCACACCATCTCAAGTTCCCACCAGCAATGCTCAGTTATAATGTATTCTATTTTTAAATTTTCTCTCTCTGTGCTGAGGGCCTCACGAATGCTGAGTACATGCTCAACCGCTGAACTTTCTTTCCTTGTGTTTTCTTTCCATGGCTGCTGGGGGACCAGACTTGCAGGCTTCGGCTTATTCCTGGCTTAGTTGGTGCTGTGTGGTTGGTGAGAGTGACATGTTCTGCTCTGCCAAAGATTAGCAACCTCCTTCACAATCTGGAAAAACCCCACATGCTGGCTGGTGAGGCCCAGGTGAGCCCAGGGCAGGTCTATGGAGCTTGCCCAGGCCTGGAGACCTCTAGGTGCCCCAAGAGGGGAGATGGCAGTTCAGGCCCCACCTGCTGCCCTGGGGCAGGGAGGCTCCTTGGGAAGTGGAAAACCTGAGTCAGGCACTTACCTCAACAGCCTTCACAGTGCCAGGCGCTCCTGGTGACCTGTGGCTACCACCTTCACAGAGGCCACAGCAAGGTGCATTCCAGTCCAGCCTCTGCCTGTGGTCAGTGGACAACGCAGCTCCTGCGCACAAGCCTGAGCAGAGGCTCCAGAAAGCTGACCACGGCAGTTTGCAGCAAGCTCTGGGGGTGGCTCCACCAGGCCTGGGGCAGGTGAGGCCCATGGAGGCCAACTCCTCCCACCACAGGCTGCAGGGCAGAGCCCCAGGTGTGGCTCCTGGGACCCAGGAGCTCCCCTTCCCCAGGTGTCTCAGTATTTGGTCCAGGGAAGCCCTGCAGAGAACAGGAGGCCAGGCTGGGAAGTAATGGATGATGCAGGCTTGGGACCCCAGGATGACAATCTGCATCACTGACACGTGCGCTTTGAGGGTTATAGGTTTGGGCAGAAACTGTCCTCATTCTTTGAGAATTTAGAAGCAGGAATGTGGCTGGCTCCCCAACGGCCCTGTGTAGGGACCAAGCCTGCCAGGTCGTTGGCGCCCAGCAGGGCTCAGAAGTGGAGAGGACTGTGAAGGGCAGGGAGTGTTCTTGGCCTGCCTTTGTGCTTAGTGGAGACCTTCAGAAGTAAGAGCAGGTGTGCTTCAGACACCACCAAGCCATTACCAGGGAACCTGGGGTCAGGGGATCCCACCTGATGGAGCTGAGGGCGCCATGCTCAACATCTCCTGAGTTCACTGAAGCCTCAGCCAGGGAGCAAACAAGGAAGCTCAGGCTGCACAGCTAAATGCCTGGTGGCCCAGTGGGCAGAGCTCCTGGAACCCAGCACAGCCTTGGAGCAATCTGAAAGGAAGGGAGATGACGGGACACAAAGACACCTCGTGCTGGTGCATGAAACTACCTCAAGATTCCCGTGGTGACCATGACATTTTGGGGTAGTCCCTCCTTAGGCTGCTTGGTCTCCCAGGAAGTGGCTCAATGTGACAGCCACAGGGCTGGGCTTCCAGCCCTTGAAGTTTTTGTGAGAAAGTTGGTAGTGACAGGGCCAAGCTCAATCCCCACCCCCATACCCCAACTCTGTACTGGGGAGTGAATCCAGGGGTGCTCTATCACTGAGCTATACCCCCTAAATCTTTTTGAGACAGGGTCTTACTAAGTGGCCCAGGCTGACCTTGACCTTGGGATTATCCTGCCTGTTTCTCAAGATCACAGTCATGCAATGCAGTGCCCACCCCATCCCAATCTTTGATTTGGACCTGGAGTGTGTTCTTAGCCCCACGGCCACAGCTGTCACCCCTTCCCCCAAGTCAAGAGTCAGGGCTGGAGCTGCGGAGCTGTGAGGAAGCCAGCTGTGGTGCTGCCAGGATGGAGGCCTGCAGACGTCAGGTCACAGCGACCCAGAGGCTCCTGGCAGAGCTGAGGGACCTGCCGAGGAAAGGGGCCCAGGCCCCAAGGCACATCCCGTGCCCACAGGAACCTTGCTTGACCTGCAGAAACAGGACTGCAGGCGGAGCCTGGCTTCCTCCGTCTGCAATGGCAGAGGTTTCACCATTTCTCTCAAAGCCCTGACTGGTCACAGGGCTGACAGAGCACCCAGGCTTCGGGCAGCACCTTCTCTTCTCCTGGCTGTGCATTTCCTCCAGCTGCCCACAGGGCTCATCAGAAATGGCTCAGGTCGAGCGGCCCAGCATAGACCTTGAGCCTCCCAACAAAGGCCACTTTCATAGTTACTGTGCCCATTTTAAACCTTTCACTTACATCAAATTCACATTTTAGCCAGGTGTGGTGGCAAATGCTTGTAATACCAGCAATTAGAGAGGCTGAGGCAGGATTTGCAAATTTGAGGTCAACCTCAGCAATTTAGAACATTCAGCAACTTAGCAAAACCCAGTCCAAAAAAAGGGGGATATAGCTTGGCAGAGTACCCATGGGTTTAATCCCCAGTTAAAAAAAAAAAATCCAAATTCGCATTTAAAAACACTTTAGATAGGTTACTTTCTTTCAGTACTGGAGACAGAACCTAGGTACTCTCTGCCACTGAGGTACTTTTTAAAAAATGTTTATTTTGAGACAGATTCTAAGTTGCCCAGGCTTGCCTTGAACTTGAGATCCTCCTGCCTCAGCTCACCAAGTGTCTAGAATTAGAGGCACGTACCACCATGCCCAGCCTAATTTTTTTCTTTCTTTTTTTTTGGTACCAGGGATTGAACTTGGGGGCTCTTAGTCACTGAGTCACATGCCCAGTCCTATTTTGTATTTTATTTAGAGACAGTGCCTCACTGTTGCTAAGGCTGGATTTGAACTTGCGATCCTCCTGTCTTAGTCTCCTGAGCCATTGGGATTACAGATATGCGCCACTGCACCCGGCCTAATTTTGTTTTAACGAGAATTTGGGACTAGGGGTCTGACACCTCCCGGGGACCCAAGTGAAGGAGCCAGACTGACCGTGTGAAGTTTGGCTGAAGACTCTCAGGCCCAGGGAAACTTAGTAACCAAAAATGCAAACAGATGAACCAGATGAGCTCACTGAGGTTTCAGCCCTCCTGGTTCCCAATACTAGGGGAGAAAGGGAATCTATTTATGGTAAATGATTCTGGATTAGTAAATTCTGATCAAGAGGCCAAAAGAGTTAAGAGTCTGTAAAAGGCTTCCATTCCAACCACCCCACACCATGACTGTATGAACCAGTTTTATTACTCCACTGCCCGGGTGCACCCTGGTCATGCTCTTGTCACACCTGCTTTTCAGACCAAGGCGAGGTACCAGCTCAGCAAATAGGAAAGCTGTTCTGCAAAACAGCAACTGCCAGCTAAAGGCATCACCACCACTGCAGAAGGAAGCAAGTCACCAGGGGAGCATGGGCAGCACAGGACAATGACTTCTGGGACCAGGAAATCCTCTCTGATAGGGCCAGACCATGCTACTGTCCTTGGGAGATGACACTCTTCCTCTCGGAGGGTGGGTTACTCCTTCAAACCCATCCATGTCACAGACAAAATGCTCCATTCTTCCAGCTTCTGGATTCAGCAATGAAACATCAAAAGTGCTCTGACCAAAGCCCCAGCATGAGCACGCCTTCGTCCTCCCTGGTAGAGCAGGGGAGGATGGAGACACATGGAAGACTGGCCAGCCCCACTGTTAAATAAAGTCCCGACTAGAACTCGGGAGCGAGGGGCAGGAGGCCCAGCTGCAGGCACACACAGTCACTGTTTTCTTGGAAGCAGCTCCTCCAGCTCCTTCGGTCCAGGCGGGCAGCCGGTGCCCCTCACTGCATGCCAAACCACTGCTCCTGGTCGGCCCACTGGGCCGCCTCACTGTCGCTGCCCTCTAGGTCCCCCTCTTCCCCACTTCCTTCCATGTCATCCACATCTTCCTCCTGAGTTGCATCTGTGGGACTCTCCTCCTTCTCCATCTTCTGCATCCCCTCTAGAGACTTCTGGTCATTGGGGTCCAAACTAGGGGACAACAAAACAAAGGAGAGGCCTGAATCTCTGCCTTCTTCCAGCAGAATGACTCGTCACCTAGCTGGCTGGGAGGTGAAATGAGCAGAACAACTGCCAGAACCTGGTGTCTCCCAACAACCCGGGGTCCCGAGGCTGGACTGAGGGCTTCCACCACCAGAAGTGAAAAAAGGGAAAATCTTTTCCTAATTTTTGGAATTCTCAAAAGACTTTGATTTTTTTTTTTTCTCCACAAGTTTCTTAAACTTTTTCATACCTATCCCCCTAGCATTCTGCCAGAGGAGGCTACCAGACACAGCAATGAAAAAGTGGCAAACATTAACAGAAAATCTCAATGTAATTTCTTAAAAGTAGGGGTTTTTGAGCTGCAGGGTTACAGAGTTATTCTTCTGTGAGAACAACTGCTCTGTGCTCTTATGACACAGTGACATATCAGCATTTCAGTTGTCAAGTAAAAACACTGTGGCACACCATGAACAGATGTCAAGCTCCTAGATTAGACCTTAGGACCAAGGCTACCTTTACCCAGGCATGTGCATATCGCAGCCAAGAATATACATGTGCCAAACCCCCAAAGTCCAAAGCCTCTAGAACATTCATTTATTTGACTTCTAGGGAATGTTTCCTCTTGACTTTGTAACCATCACCAGCCTAGCCAATTCACCTCTAATCAAAGTCTGGCTTTGTTGTTGTTGTTTTTTTTTTTTCATTTGCTTTTAAGCTTCCAAAAAGCAGCTAAAACAACTGTTGGAATCCCATTTCTATTTACATAAATGCAGGCTGATTTCTAACATCTCTTCTCTGAAACCTTCAATGCTCCTGCTCTCTGGCCTCCACCCAACCTTCTATAGACTGCTAGGAAAGCATGAGTGGTGATATCACCAGTGTGCACATGAGGAGAGCGTCCGGAATTAAGCAATCCCAGTGGTCACTGGCCAGGCACACAAGTGCTGTTCAACTGTCCTCTGCATGAGGGAATGGATGTATGTGACCAGACTCAATTACAGACATTCCCTCACTGTGACCCTGCAGACACACAGACTCCCTCAAAGAAATCACATCAGTGACCACTATTTATTTATTATTTACTATGTGCCAGGCACAGTGCCAAGAGCTTTACCTGGAATAATCATTTAATCCTCATTTAATACCCAATAAGGTAGAGAAAAGGACATGTTAGTTAGTTGCCCAAGATGACAGTGGTGAAGAAGCATTCAAGTTCTTGACTACTAAAGCAGGTAGGAACATGGGAAAGTACTTACAATACTTTGATTGGAAAATGCAGAATATAAAATATATTCTAAGTATAAGTCTATAAAAATACGTATGTGTGTGGGCAAGGACAGGAAGATCTATATGAATGAACAGGATGCCACAGTGGTATGGGCTCTTTAATGTTGTTAATATACTTTAAGAAAAGTTTTTCACAAGGGTTGAATTCACAAATAACTCTTCTGCCATTATAATTATTATTCTGCTTTCCACTGTGGGCAATGTGTGTATCTTTCAAGAACTCCAGCTACACAGTTCCCTGCCTTTCCTCCCCTTTTCGTTACCTGCCCCGCCAGAGGCTGAGTGCCTACCTGAGCGCTATACTGTACTGGTCCATTGCTTCCTGATACTCATTGACAGCTACAAGGAAATCTCCTAGGATCCGATGCAGGACACAGTCACTCTGATTAGCCAGTGCATTCCTCAGCAAGGCAATTCCATCTTCATATTTCTGTTCTCTACCTGAAAAGAAAAAGAGCCTAGCTGTCTTCATCAAAATTTTGAAAACATACTTCCAGCTCAACTCTATACATGTAACCACAACCATCACAATCTGACAGTTTCTTTGTAGCCATCCTCAGAATAACAGTGTGACACAAAGTGAGAGCAAATGCAACTGAATTCCTATTTCATTAGGAAATTTGTGGCTTGGGTTCTGATTTTTCAAAGATACTCTTGATCTTAATCCAAATAAAACGCCAAGTTGCTTTTTATATTGATTTGCTAGACTGGCCCAAATCCAGGAGTCATCATAAATCAGGACAAAAGGCATACCCCCATTTCTCACCATGTGATGCCTTACTGCTATCTCAGGACTCTGCCAGCAAGAAAGCCAATGAACCCAAATCAACATTTTCATTAAAAAAAAAAAAAAAAAAAATTCTCATAAGAGAATCCAGATAGCTCAAAAACAATTCAAACTAAAACCAGCCCAAATTAGCTCAGGACAACTAAAATCAGATGAAAGCAAGCTGAACAGGTACTAACCAATTTAGACCATTCCAGCCAAATCAATCAAGTCTAAGCCAGGTACATTTGGTTGTGTGCTAAACCAATTCAAGCAGCCTCAGACCTGCTGCAAAAGGCACACACACACCTATCTGGTCATCTGTAACCAGCTGGGAATGGAGAGTGCAACTAACACTTGGTTTTATAGAAGTGAATGTTGAGGGGCTGAATGTTGAGGCTCAGTGGTGGAGCACTTGCCTTGTATGTGTGAGGCACTGGGTTTGATCCTCAGCACCACATAAAAATAAAATAAAGGTATTGTGTCCACCTAAAGCTTAAAAAAAAAAAAAAAAAGGAAATGAATGTTGAATGGGCAAAATAGAAGACATACTTACTAAGTAGTTCTGCTTTTTTCACCACAGCTTTAATGTAATCCGGCCTTTGGGTCAGGGCTTTATCTAACAAAGTTTTGGCTTTCTCCTGTGTCACTGGGTCTTCTAGACAAACGGTGGCTAAAAGGGTAAGGGTCTGTGCATTTGCGCCTAGAGTTTTGTAAACATTGTTAGCCATTACCATTGCTTCTCGAATACTGTTAGAGGTTAAGTAACATTCGATGAGACCTTAAAAAATAAAACACACAAAGAAGTTCAATCATATTACCTTAAAAAATAAAACACACAAAGAAGTTCAATCAAGCCAAGCTTCCATTCTGACAGTGTTCCAAATGGCAAACCTTCCAAGTTTTAGACAAAGGGCAGGCCCGCGGAAAACTGATGGTGAGATTAGACTGGAGGATGTGCTGATGGAATAGCTAAGGAGCGCTCTAATCAGAGCACTTGATAGATGTGGAAAAAGCCTACCCTGAAAATGCACCTTCAGTTAGTGAAAGAAACAAGCATGCATAAGGAAACTGCAGCGTGTGGGCAGAACATCTGAACACTGAAGAACAAATGTGACACTAATCATTACTCTGTTGTGTGGCCAGAAGATTAAAGTAGTGAGAGATAATGTTTCCAATGAAACTCAAGGTTCTACTGCCTTAAGCCATTACTCTCTGGCTGTGTTCAATCACCTGCAGACCTATATTTAAGAGAGAGGGTAAAAAATGAATGTCCTATTTTATCAATTAAAGAACCTACTGTCAAGCCACATGGGGAGAAAGGCAGACTCTGACTTGAAACACAGAAGTTATCTCCAAAGGCACTTGCTGAGGGCCTTCTCACATTAGGTGGAAAACACTTAATCAGACAGACCCAATATACTAAGATTGGCAGCTCATTTCTCTTTTCACACCCACAGCGAGATGCCCTATGGAGCCACTTCAAGAAAACTCAACTCTTTGTGCCAAGAAGTTGAGAACAGGGGAAGAACTTTTTGGCACAAAGCACTCATCAAAAACAGAAAAACAGCTTAAACCCCAAACCCACACAATCACTGGCAGATTTTCTCTGAAAACTCCTCCACTCTAGCAGCATTTATAATATTCGTGCACACTCTTCCACACATTATGGTTACTTAACCAGAAATTACCTAACTCTAAAGGGCAACATGTTAGGTTCCAAATACAGCTGTTTGCAACTACTTATTGAGTATTGAAACTTCAGAAGGAAATGGAAAGAGCCAGGTCTAGTGGTCCATGCTTGTAAATCCCAACTACTCAGGAGGCTGAGGCTGAAGGATTCCAAGTTGGAGGCAGCTTGAGCTAACAAGACCCTATCTCAAGGGCTGGGGATGTGGCTCAAGTGGTAGCGCACTTGCCTGGCATGCGTGCGGCCTGGGTTTGATCCTCAGCACCACATACAAACAAAGATGTTGTGTCCACCGATAATTAAAAAATAAATATTAAACTTCATTTCTCTCTCTCTAAAAAAAAAAGAAAAGAAAAAAAGATCCCATCTCAAAAATAAAAATGGCTAGGAATGTAGCTCAGTGGTACAGCACTGGCCTAAAATTCCTGAGAGGCCCTTTATTCAATCCCAGCCCTGCGGGTGGGGTGGGGGGAATGCACCTCACTAATCAAAGGGCATGCACCAGCAAAGGGAGAAAGCTCCACTGGAGATGGCCAGAAGGCATAACCAGTTACCAAGATCCAAATCTCCAAAGAGTAGCCTGAGAAGCCTCACTGGTCCTCTGGGGAAATCTGATGCCCCCAGATGCTCTAACTATCTCCATCCAGGCACTGGGGTACTAGGATAATCCAAAGGCATTCCTGTACTTGGGCAAAACAGGGGTGCTGCAGAAAGGAGCTGGTGTGACCAATACAGCTTAGAGGGAAGTTACAGTTTCAGGTTTAAGAATTTAATCTGGGGCTGGGGGTGTGGCTCAAGCGGTAGCGCGCTCGCCTGGCATGCGTGCGGCCCGGGTTCGATCCTCAGCGCCACATACAAACAAAGATGTTGTCCGCCGAAAACTAAAAAATAAATATTAAAAAATTTTCTCTCTCTCTCTCTTTAAAAAAAAAAAGAAATTAATCTGAAAACAGAGACTTGGTTTTCTGCAGTTTCTTTAAGAACAAAGGCAATTTCCATTCCCCCAACACATTTACAATAAGCATAGCTCTCTGGCTATATAAGCAGATTTGTTCTTTCCTCCAACTTTCAAATTTGAACTCATCTTCCTGTTAAGATCAAATCACTCCTAGACTCCTAGGTTTATTTTTAAATTCTTACAAAAATATGTTTTAGAGGAACTGCATCTTGTAAGATCTATTTTAACGTCTGTGACTGAGTCACCAAATGTTGCTGAGGCTGGCACAGTTTCTTTGAGCTCCTAGGGTCAGTTCATATGAACTTAAAACATTATATAACAAAAAAGCTGAACCCCAATCATGCCCACTCTGAAGGTCACAATGGACAACTAGTTCCCACAGCCAACATTGTCTCATGGATATGGTGTTACTCTATCAGTAACATCTGTGGTCCAAGATAAGGTAAGATGAGTATGAAAATAAAGACATAACTGAGCAATTTAGCATAGGGCCTGGCAGAGATTCTCATTAATGACTGGGCTACATCTGAAGGGGGGAAAAAAGGACAAAAATCTATTCCAAGTATCCCCTTATCAAAAACCAGAAAAAAAGACAGAGAGATGGGGCTGGGTTTGTGGCTCAGAGCTATAGCGCTTGCCCAGCATGCGTGAGGCACTGAGTTCAATCCTCAGCACCACATAAAAACACTAAACAGGGGGCTGGGGTTATGGCTCAGTGGCAGAGCGCTTATCTAGCGTGTGCAAGGCCCTGGGTTCGATCCTCGGCACCACATAAAAATAAATAAATAAAACAAAGATATTGTGTCCAATTACTACTAAAAAATAAATATTAAAAACAACAACAACAAAACCCCAACACTAAACGGGTTGGGGTTATGGCTCAGTTGGTAGAATGCTTGTCTTGCATGCACAAAGCCCCAGCACCACAAACAAACTAAACAGAATAAAGGCATTATATCCATCTAAAACTAAAAATATATTAAAATAAAAAGGTGGGGAGAACTCATTCTAGAAAATGCAGGGTGAAAAACCCAGTGACACCCCTAATTAATGTAAAATGCCTAATGCATAATTCCCAAATCTATCTGCACACTAATACCACCTGGGATCTTAAAAAAATACCAGCGGCTAATTCACAGCCCATGTTCTCATCTATGTTGGAGTGACCTGGCAGCTTGATTTTTAAAAGATTCCTCAGATGACTCTAATACTCTAATAGACTCTAAGAGTTTAGAACTGTGGGCCTGATGAAAACTTCCACCTGAGTGCAGCTGCCATGGCTTCGAATCCCCACTAGTCATGATGATCTTACCTTCGTAACAATCTAAGCGACAAGGTGAGAGCCGTATGGCCTCCCGAAAATGGATTATTGCTTCTTGGACTCTGCCCATGTTCCTAAGTGCTGCTCCTTTAAGTAGCAAAGCTTGCACACTGTTACTGTTCAGCTGAATGGCCTTGGCTCCCAAGTAGAGGGCTCGGGAGTAGCGTTTGCTATAGAAGCTATGACACCTGGAGGAAAAAAAAACACCAGAAATTACCTGAGAGGGACCATAAAGAAGTTTCATGCACAAATCAGAAGGAAGGCCCTATATATGATCCTCATTATAAACCACACTTATAGTTATAAGCTATGATGTTAGTGAAAACAAAAACAAAACAAAACAAAACAATATATATATATATTTATATTTTTTATTTAATATTTAATTTCTTATTTATTTTTAAGGGGGAAAGCTTAACAAGGAAGGAAAAAAAACAGAAAAGAATCTGATGATCCGGATACCTGTTATGAGCTGAAAGACATTCAGAGAATCTGTAAAGCCAGGTAAATAACAATACAGGTTTTATTTATTTACTTTTTTTGTAGGGAGCAGTGCTGGGGATTGAACCCAGGGCCTCACACTTGCTAGAGAAGCACTCTACCACTGAGCTACATTCCCAACCATGAGGTAAATAACAATGGAGGTTGTCCAGAGTAAAGCCCAGGGCTAAAACATGAGGCATTCACTGTGTCATTTAATGCTTACCCCTAGTAGTAGGGTAGGAAGTTATTAGCCCATTTTCCAACTGAGGGGAAAAAAAAAAACCAGAGAGGTCAATATGCATCTAAAATCATATGTCACAGGCCAGAGATGAAACTCAGTGGAAGAGTACTTGCCTAGTACACCATAGACTTAGGTTCAATCCTTATATCACAAAACAAAATCAAATGTCATGATTTGATTCAGGCCTGATTATCTCCCTTCCCCTCTCTTTTTTTGGTGATAACTGGGGATTAAATCCAGGAACTAGGCCACTGAGCTATACCCCAGCCCTTTTTATTTTTTATTTTGTTCTTGGAATCCTCCTACCTCAACCTCTCCAGTCCCAGGATTACTAGGCATATGTCACTGGGCACAGCCTGATTATCTCTTAAACTAGTGCTTTCAATTCATATACCTACAATCTCTTTAAAGAATCTACTGAAAACCAGGCAGAAAAGGGAATGCACAAACATACCCAGAGACCACCCAGGGTTCTGCATGCTGATCAGAAATATTGAAAAGACGGCAGCCAAGGTTCTCCACATCCTCTAGCCGCCCTTCTCGTGCCAGGAGGTAGCCATATACATCCATCCCTAAAAAAGGAGGACAGGATGAGAAGAGGCCCTTTAATCTAATCAAAGAAGTAATTAAAAAGGAGTAGGATCTAACAAGCAGACCCACACTGAGGTTCCCGCTGCTCTAGGGTCTGAGCTTTTTCCATCATCATGGACTCCTCCACAACCACTTCCCTACAAAATGACTATTAAAAAGGAAAACTCATCCAAAATAAAACAGGCAAAGAAGCAGAAGGATATATCTCACAATTTGAAAGCCTGTTGTTTTCAGGAACTGTTTGCCCCTATTTCTGTGGTGTGATATACAGCTCTCCTAATGAATAACCAGAAAGGGCCCAAAAAAAGGCATCAAATAAATGCTCCATCCGAGCTCTACTATGCTGAAAAAGTCAGTCTCACAAAAAGTTGGCCTACTCCAGAAAAAGCTTGTAGTTCATTCTAGAATGTAGCTCATTAAAGATCCCCACCCCTCCTTACTCCTGTATCATTGTGCTCCCCTGATCCCACTTCGTTCTCACTAGCAGTCTATAAAAAGGGCCTAGACTTGCTGTCACCCATACCCATCTCTTGCCACCATTCTTCTGTTATCCCTTCAGATTCCCATTAAAATTTCCTTTCAAGCCAAAATTATAGCAATACTTCCTCTGGCTCAAAGTCTTGAGTTTATGCTTCTGACTCTAAGCTGCCAACTACTGCCAGACTAATTTTTCTAAAGCCCATTTTCATCACAGGATTAGGCAGCTTAGAGAACAGGAATAAACACTAGGCAGGAGGGAGGCTTAGACAAACAAATTCATCCTTCTGTATCTGTTCCCTCATCTGCTTGCTTGTGAAAATTCCCCTCCCTCCTCTTATTAAGAGTTTGCCATACTGGCCAGGCACAGTGGCACACGCCTGAAATCAGCTGCTTGGGATGCTAAAAGAGAAGGATCACAAGTCCAAGGCCAGCCTTAGCAACTTGGTGATAGTGAGACTGTCTTAAAAAAAAAAAGGTGGGAGAGGCAGGGATAGGGATGCAGCCTCACAGCCTCAGTGGTAAAATACTCCTGGAATCAATTCCCAAAACCAAAAAGAAAAAAAAAAAAAAAAAAGTCTGTAAGGCTGCTTATTGTTACAAGGCATATTTTTCTAACGGTCTCTCTGGGGCCTTACAAACAGACGTCAGCCTATCTAGCTGATCATATTTCTCACTATTCCTGAGCACAAACTCACTGCCAGTCACCTGACAGCCAGTTTTTCAAAGGCCCGATGCCTCCTTCCTTCAGCTGCAATCTTCTTTCAGATCAATGGTTTTCCTATTGTCTGCTCCTAATCCTTTTCTTACTCTCTTTTAATTATGCTACAGAAACAGTACAACTAAATTCCCTAACATGATATTATGGTTCTTGGGATGCCATCCAAATCAGGCACATCATAAATTTATAATTCATAAGAAAGAGCTATGACTCTCTCCAAAAGGGAAAAAAAAAAAAAAAAAAAAAAAGCCAAGTAACGTCTGTGAGGAGACTGTACTTGAATTCAAGCAAAAATAACTGCTTAAAATGAATCACCAAAATGTTAAAAAGACGTGCCAGGAACTTAAAAAATAAATAAATAAAGAGTAAAAGACCAATGTAATAAGCCTCAAAAAAATTTTCCCTGAAAAACAGTACCTGTTCATGCCACATTTCTTGCCTATCTTCTGATCTGCCCCTCTATAGACACTCTCATCTTGCCCCAAGAATTACTCACCTTTTATCAGATAAGGATCCAGCATTTGTGCCTGTTCAAACTTGAGGACAGAGTTTTTATTGTCTCCAACTCTGAAGTACAGATCTGCCAAGCTTCCTAGTAGGTCCACATTATCTCGCAATAAGGACTTTTTCTCCAATGAACTTAAAAGATATTAAACAGTGAATCTTACAATTAGACCCTTAATTGCTTAATCAGAGGATCTGGCATAGAGACACTACTTTTTTTTCTGTATGCAAGAAAGCTTTCATAAGACTTTGAATATACACAATAAAGCAGACACTACTCACTACCTAGAAAGAAATTCCTTGTTGCAGTTTTTCAATGGACAACATACACTACATGGAGCTGAATGCAATGTCATTCACAAGTGACAGCTATTTATTACTCAACTGGATGGCTTTGCATAATACAAAAACTCCCGTCTCTTGTTCTTGGACTATATCCAAATAGAAGGAAAAGCCCAGTCCTAAGGGGGCAATCTAGGTTAAATGCTGCAATAAACCATGCTTCCAGGGAGATCAAAAAGGTTTTCTTCTAGGTTTAAGCATGACACAAAATGGCAGTTTGCTCTTTACCTTTGCATATAGATCTGAACTCAGTCCAGCTGTACATTTTTATAGGTTTCCAACAGGGATTATTTTATTTCCAACTAACAAAGCCCAAGGACAACTGCTACAAACCAAGAAATAAGCACTTCATTTTTCTGTTTTACTAATTTAAACACATCAGACTTCCAGATGAGGAAAGGGCCTCATGAACAGGGAATTAATGCTGTGGTTCTTACCAGATGGTATTGATTGCTCTTGAGTTGTCACCAGTGTGCACAAAAGCATATGCTTTGATCCACACAGAGAGCCAGTCCAAGTTAGGCACAGTTTGGATCACATTCATAGTCATTGATGCCACCTCTGCACCTTTTACAGAAAGGGATAGCAAACCTAACCCAGCAGAAAACAGGAAAAAAGTGGTGAGGCAATGCCCTCTTCCACAGTGCAAGAAACAGTCTACAACTTCCCTACGCTACAAGCCCCCTTCCCTATCTAATAAAGACACAAGGGAGCCAGAGTTGTAGCTCAGTGGTAGAGCGCTTGCCTAGCATGAATGAGGCACTGGGTTCATTCCCTGGCATCACATAAAAATAAACAAATAAAATAAAGGTATTGTGTCCATCTAAAACTAAAAAAAAAAAAAAAAAAAAAAAATACTAGGGACTGGAGGTGTAATTCAGTGGTAGAGTGCTTGTCTAGTAAAAGCAAAGTCCTGGATTAGAGCTCCAGCACTAAAAAACAAAACAAAAAACAACATAACAATAACAACAACAAAAAACACATATGACAGAAATACAATAACTTATTATTTTCGGTGCTGGGGCTCAAACCCAAGGCCTTGAGCATGCTAAACATGTGCTTTACAACTGAGCTACATCCCTAGCCCCAGAAGATTGCTTAATATTTCTTGACAGAAGCAGGGCATGGTGGCACACATCTGGGAGACTGAGGCAGAAGAATCGCAAGCTGAAGACCAGCCCCAGGAACTTAGTAAGACCCTATCTCAAAATAAATAAACAAATAATTTTTTTTCCTTGATTGAATATGCGATGATGTAGGGAATTTTTTAAAAACTCTATTCTGCCAGGCATGGTGACTTATACCTGATCCCACTAACTAGGGAGTCTGACCCAGGAGGATTACAAGTTATTATAAGCGGGCCAAACCTCAGTAAGATAGTGAGACCCTGTCTTAAAAAATTAAAAAAAAGGAGGGTTAGAGTTGTGGCTTAGTGACAGAGTGCTTGCCTAGTGAGGCACTGGGTTCCATTTTCAGCACTGCATATAAATAAATGAATAAATAAAGGTTTATCAACATCTTAAAAAAATTTAAAAAAAAGGACAGAGGCTATATAGATCAGTGGTATAGTGTCACTAAGTTCAACCCCAGTATCATTAAAAACAAACAAAAAATATTCTAACATATCGGGAACCACTATCTTTGACAGTTGACACTCTAGGAAAACAGGCAGAAAATTAACTGTACCTAGAATGGCATCAAGAGCTAATGGGCACTGCCGCAGTACTTCCTTGTAGCTGGTGACTGAAGGGCGCTCCTGACCAGCCTTCCTGTACAGGTTTGCCAGCATCATGTTTATCTGTATAATCAAAAATAAAGAACAATAAGATAATATTGTATTGCAAAAAAAAATATCTCACCATCAAAAAGTTCTGATTTTTATTACTAGCTACTACTCTACTTTTTACTGGAAAATCTACCCAGAGCTCTGTGCAAAGAAAGAAAGACCAATCCTGGGCTGGGTTGTAGCTCAATGCTAGAGCGCTTGCCTTGCACACGTGAGGCCCTGGGTTCGATCCTGAGCACCATGTAAAAATAAAGATGTTGTGTCCATCTACAACTAAAAAAAATTAAAAAAAAAAAAAAAAGACCAACCCTATTCTTCAAGCAAAGAATAAATTACATTACTATCCTTGCTTTTTCTAAGTCCTCCCATTCCTAAAAGGAAAAAGTCACATTACCCTCTCATTTACCTAACTAAAACTTCCAGTAATATCTGGACCAAAGATGCTGCCTCTAGAAATGGAAATGACATTCATTTGGTAAATTCCAGAATTCTAGTTACCTTAATTCATTCTTGAACTATCCAAGAAGTGCATACATTCAAATACTTTAAATTCAATTAATACTGAGACATAAGAAAGCAAAGAACTCTTGGCATAACTAGTTAAAAAGGATCAGATGAATTTTTCCCCAAAAGGAAATGACAGATACAGAGGTAAAATACTTGGCTTCTTTTTTGACAATTACACTAGTGACTAGAATCTGGCCTTTCTAACAAAGCTTTTACCCTTAAATACTGACTTGCCAAAATCATGTTACAAAAATTCAACTCAAACTGACCTATAGAAATTACCATGATCTAGTGAATAGCTACACTATTTAAATCCAGTGCAGACATCTGCATTTTAACACAATTTAAATAAGTAACTAAGTAAAGTTTTCTTATCAGTAATCCTTCCTGAGAACACAACAAAGAAAATCTAAAAGTGACAAACAATGTGGAAATTACAGAAAAGGGATAAATGATCTTAATAGTACAAAGAAAAAACCCACTGTTTCAATTTAAACACAACACTGTGTTGGGCAGATCATTAACCTAAGGAAGCAGTCAATATGAAGACACAAGAAAAAAGTCAATCCCCCAATATCTTCAATTATCTGTGACTTGGCATGCCAGGTATTTACTCAAAAGAGTGCTCTGAAGAACATCTGTTTCAATTACAGACCTACAATGTATAAAACATCCCAGAATAGTATGAATCCACACTAATCCAAATGATGAAATAATAAAACACTCGAAATAAAATTATTTTTTATTTGGCTTCAGATATTTCATTTTAGGCTATTTTGAATATGCAAAGGAAGGTACTTAAAGGAAAACTCCAGTATTAGTGCCAATACTTCAAAATATTCTTTTGAAAGGTTAAATTTAAGATTCTTCCTTGACTGCTTGATATTAACAAACTGATGAGCCATTTGTCTCAACAAATATCAAAATTTCCTTTAAACTACTTAACTGTCACTCAAAAGAACAAGTTTTAAGTGCTACTGAGAGGAAAAGTCAATTTTTAAAACGGATCCTTATTTGGGAAAACGGTAAAGACACATTCCACCAGTTCTAAACCCAAGTAATCATTATTTCCTAAAAATTGAGGAATTGTGTGTTGGTATGCTTACTCTTAAAAGTTGAAGATTTGCCAAGATAGAATAATCTAACACTGGAATTTTCCTTTAAGTGTGAGGGAATGTGTGGTGGTGTTTACCATACATTAACAGATGTTCATTTAGACGTATTTTGACTCACTTCCTTGTCCTTTACACAGACTGAGGAGCCAGTTAACTCCCTAACGGACAAGAAAGAAAAACTGTAAATATCATAGGTTTATTTTTGAGGCACATGTTTGCTTGCTCCTGGCTACAAGAGCTCTACTGTACTCCTAACAAATACAGACTCCTCTAGACCCTCTTAAAATAATGATTGCAAACATCAAGCATTGGATGCCATAAAATCAAATTTCTTTGCCTTTACTGGTTTCCAAAAATGTCCCCAAACACCAAGTCAATAAGAAGGAGATTACAATGCATTTCTGATAATGAATAGTGTCGTTCAAAGTTTATAATCAAAATAGCTTCTTCCAAAAGGCCTTGAGTACAGCAGCAGACGCTTCCTCATACATGCAAGAAATTAATTCTCAGATAGGAAAAAACTCATAGAATACTAGAATGAAATTTAATATATAGCATCCAAACCTATTAAGAGACAAACTGGTCCATAATACACTTCTAAGTATTTGGATTTCTTTTTTTTTTTGGTATTGAATTGAACCCAGGGATACTTTACCACTGAGCGACATCCCCAGCCCTCTTTGAGACAGGATCTCACTAAGTTGCCAAGGATCTTCCTAAGTTGCTGAGGCCGATCTAGAACTTGTGATCCTCCTGCCTTATACTCCAGAGTCACCAGGATTACACGCAGACAACATTACACCCAGCTACTTCCAAGTTGTTGAGGGTTTTTGTTTTTTTAAATTTTTAGTTGTAGATGGACACAATACTTTATTTTTATGTGGTGCTGAAGATCAAACCCAGCACCTCACACATGCCAGGCAAGCGCTCTGCCACTGAGCCACAACCCCATCTATTTATTTATTTTTTTATAGTCCTGAGGATTAAACCCAGTGCTTCACACTTGCTAAGTGAGCACTCTACCACTGAGCCACAACCCCAGCCCCATGAGGAAATATCTTAATTTTAAAACAGATTGGGGATGCAGATCAGTGGTATGGTGTTTGCCTATTATGTGTGAGGCCCTAGAGTATGATCCCTAATATGTAAAACTAAATAAATAAAATTCAGAAAAATAGAGCTGGGAATGGAGTTCAGTGGTAGAACACAAGCTTAGCATGCTCGAGGCCCTGGGTTTAAACCCCAGCAACAAAAAACAACAAATAAACAAAAAACCTCCAGAAATAACCAATTCAAAATAGTAAATAATCTTTAATGTCAGGAGAAACTTAAACATGTTCTCATCAAGTTGGGTTGTCTGGAAAATGCAGCAACACTTAAGATGTACTAATTTAACTACACCAGGTTTCTACTGTTTAGATTCCTGGTCTTCAGGTGCAGGAGGATGTGAAGACTTTCCTTTTCTTTTTCTTTTTTTTTTTTTTTTTTTGGTGGTGGTGATACTGGAGATTGAACCCAGGGGAGTTCTCACCACTGAGTTACAACTCCAGGCTTTCAGTCCTTTTTATTTTTAATTTTGAGACAGGGTCTTCGTAAGTTGCTGAAGCTGGCCTCAAACTTGCCACCCTTCTGCCTCAGCTTCCAAAGCAGCTGGGACTATAGGCCTAGGCCACTGTGCCTAGCTGTACACAGAATACTTATTAAATTCCTCATTGTTAAACACAAATTGCACAAAAAAATTTTTCAATTAAGTAAGGACAGGTGATAACCTGGGATATTAAATTCTAGCCAGATATGGTGGCACATGCCCATAATTTCAGAGACTTAGGAGGCTGAGGCAAGAGGATCACAAGTTCTAAGCCCATCTCAGCAACTCAGTGAGATCTTTTCTCAAAATAAAAAATAACAACAGTTGAGAATATAGCTCAGTGGCAAAGTGCTCCTGGGTTCAATCCCCAGTACCAAACAAAAAAATTCTGACATGAATTAAATACTCAGAGCAAGGATTCACACTATTCTTCTAAAGGGGGCTTCAAAAAATTTGATAAAGACACCCAATGTTCTCTACATAACAGTAATTTTTTAAAATATTTATTTTTTAATTGTAGTTGAATACATTAACTTTATTTATTTATTTTTATGTGGTACTGAGGATAGAACCCAGGGCCTTGCACATGCTAGGTGAGTGCTCTACCACTGAGCTACAACCCCAGCCCAACAGAACAGTATTTTTAGTTAAGCCAGGTGTGGTGGTGCACACCTGTAATGCCAGTGGCTCAGGAGGCTGAGGCAGAAGGATCGAAAGTTTAAAGTCAATCTCAGCAAAAGCGAGGTGCTGAGTAACTCAGTGAGACCCTGTCTCTAAATAAAATACAAAACAGGGCTGGGAATGTGGCTCAGTGGTCAAGTGTCCCTGAGTTCAATTCTTGGTTACCCATCCCCCACCCCCAAAAATGTATTTTTAAGGTTGGCATTGTAGCTCAGTGGTGGAATGCTTGTTTCATATTCATGAAGCCCTGGGTTCAATCCTCAGCACCAAATAAAGATGTATCCATCTACAATTAAAAAAAAAAAAACAATTTAAAAAATGTATTTTTAGGGCTGGAGATGTAGCTAAATGGTAGAGCACTTGTCTTATATGCACAAAGCATGGGTTTATGGCAGGTGTGATGGCACATGCCTGTAATCCCAGCAACTTGGGAGGCTAAGGCAGGAGGACTGCAAGTTCAACACAAGCAACTTAGCAAGATGCTGTCTCAAATAAAAAATAAAAAGGGTTGGGGATGTGGCTAAGTGGTTAAGTGCCCCTGGGTTCAATCCCTAGTACCAAAAAAAAAAGGTATTTTTATATACATGAACTCAATTCACAATTCAGTTGTCACAAAAATTAACAGATTTTTATTATCCTATTTTATAAATAAGGTTTAAAAAAAAAAAAAGAAGACCAGAGATTGTTAATTTGCCCAACCTTAAATTGTATGTAAGTCACATGTGCCCTACATGCAAAAAAGACACCAGATCTCTGACTTCAGCTAAAGGTACACTCTTCACTATAACATGCTGCCAAATCAAACACAAACATATATTTCACACTTATGTACAATTTGAAAATGAAAGAATAAAATCATTCCCACTATCAAATGGATACATCTATGGAATACAAAAAATGAAGTTCTAAAAAAAGTGGTTTTGCCACCTGGAAGCATTTTGCAAATCATTCTTCCCCACAGAAACAAATACCAAAGAATATATACTCATAACATTGTCCAGCTGTTATTACTCATCAGCTGAATTTTCAGGTCTCTTAAGAAGGTCATTCACCTCTAAATCTCTACTTCATTAACAGCAGAAGAAAGTGAGACAGTCATGAATACAATGTTCAGATGGCCTTCCTAAAGAACAGAGAAAACATGGAAGAGAAGGGAGGGCTGCAGAGGAAGAATCACGTAACAATCTGCTAATTGAACTTACTTTGGGAGTTCTTTGTCTTGAAGGGATCCCATCAAGTATAGCAATGGCATCTTTGTCTTGTTTTAGCATTGTATAACATTCAGCCATTTTATATTTCACTTCAATTTCAGATGGAAGACACTAGGAGACAATGAAAAAGCAATTCTTGAAAATATGGTCTCAAGCCAGGTGCAGCAACACACACTTATAATTGCAGCAACTTGGAAGGCTGAGGGAGGAGGATCACAAGTTTCAGGAAAGCCTCAGCAAATTAGCAAGACCCTGTATCAAAATTAAAAAAAAAAAAAAAAAAAAAGGCAAAAGGTCTGGGGATGTAGCTCAGTGGTAAAGCATCCCCGGATTCAATCCCCAAGGACAAAAAAAGAAAAAAAGTTAGTGATTGCCAAGGGGCTGGGGACTGGGGCTGGGGAGAAGGGTAAGAATGTGAGAATGTAGAATGAATGCCAAAAGGCATGAGCTTTCTTTCTATAGTGATGAAAATGTCTGGAGTTAGATAGTACTTGTGATTATACTAAAACTCACTGAATCGTATACGTTAAAAAGGATGAAATAACAGCATGTGAGTTATATCTTAATTTTTAAAAACTTCCATGAAGATTCAATTAAGTTATATGAAAAGTAAAAGTTTAGCAAAGCCTGTGATCCCAGGCAGAAAAGATAACAAGTTTGAGAATAGCCTGGGCAACTGAGTATGAAAACAAAGGGGAAGGGAGAGGAGGGGTGAGAATGAATGGAGGCCTAGGAGAGGTGGCTCAGTGGCAGAGTGCTTGCTTAGCATACATGAGGTACTGTATTCAATCACCAGTACCAACAAAAAACAGCAACAAGCCAGGCATGGTGGTTCATGTCTGTAATCTCAGCAACTCAGGAGGCTGAGGTAAGAGTACTGCAAGTTCAAGATGCGAGGCCCTAAGCAATTCAGCAAGACCCTGTCTCAAAAAATAAATAAATAAAATAAAATAAAAAAGGGCTGGGGATGTTGCTCAGTGGTAAAGTGCCCCTGCAATCTCCAGTATACACACACACAAAAGAGGTTTAGCATCATACTTTGCAAATGGAATACTCTACATATTAACTATTTTTATGAATGATTCTATCTGGGTAATATACATGACTTCCATTTAGTGTCAAAAAATAAAAGAAAATCCTGCAATCAGCTCATCATTAATAATAGAAAGCAAAGATTTTACATAAAGATAAATAAAACCAGATGAAGGGGCTGGGGTTGTGGCTCAGTGGTAGAGCACTCGCCTAGCACATGGGATGCCCTGGGTTCGATCCTCAGCACTACATAAAAACAAACAAAATAAAGGTATGTGTACAACAAAAAAATTAATATTTCAAAAAAAAAAGATGAAGCTGAACAGGTTAAAAAAAATTAATTTTTCTTTCTAATGTGAAAAAATTTAAAGCAGAAAAACTGTGACTGATAATTTCACTTATAGTTCACCTAACATTTTATGTATACTAAGAAATTTAAAAACAGATTCAAACTAAAAAGCAAAATGTCAAAAGAAAAAAAAAAAAGAACTGTGTCAGATTGGGTAGAGAGAAGTGATGGGAGGAGAGGGGAGGGGAGGGGAAGGGGGGAAAGGAAGGACAGCAGAATAAAATAGACATTATTACTGCTGTATGTATATACGTGACTGCATGACCAATGTGATTCTGCAACCTGTACACTCAGAAAAATGAGAAATTATACCCCATCTGATTCAAATGTATGATATGTCAAGATCATTGTACTGTCATGTATAACTAATTAAAACAATAAAACAAAAAAATGAAAAAAAAAAAATAAAGTTAGGCATAATTTCACCTTTTAAAAAAAAGCAAAATGTTTTCTTTCCCTAGTTTTCCACTTAAATTTATTTCCTTCATACACGAAATATTTTCAAGCTCATTATCCACATATATTTTAAAACATATATCAGGATGTATTTATGTATCTCTAAATTCTCACCTTCAAATAAAAATAGTATTGACATATTGCTTCAAACCTTATTTTACTAGTACATAGTCATTTTCAAATCAGCACATATACTTTAACCTCATTTGTCTTTTTTCAATAATTCATCACATTACTTCATGAAATCTGAACCTGCTTATAAGCACTTTTGTTTCCAGTTTCTTCTTATAAACAATACTGCATCCCTGAAAACCTTTTGTGAATTTGTTATTAGGATTAATTCCTAGCAATGGAATAATATGGTCAAATGGTGAAGACACTGCAATTTTATTGCTTAAATTTATTTAACTATCAAGCAACCAAAACTGCCAGAAATTTTTAAATTCTTCCCCATAAATTTCACTGTGTTCTCACACAGGCCTAACAACTGAATGACATTTTACAAGCTGCATTTTCATTAAAATCACAAAGCACCTTACATTTTAAGCTCTGTTTCTATAAAAAGGAAGAATGATGCATAACTTTGTTTATACGGTTTACATTTTAGATACATCCACAAGAATTTTGCTCTTGTCCTTTAATGCTTGGTTGGGTAGGTTCCTACATCTAAGTAGTTTTTCATCTTTGTCTCGCTGTTCAGTTTCCTTTTGAATTACTTTTTATTTTATCATCTTCTTTATCTAGTCAGTCATCTTCTGAATTACCTGTCTTGGGGCTGACAGTGTATGTCAGTGGCAGACAATATGCTCAGCATACATGAGGTGTCAGGTTCAATTCCCAGCACAGCCCCCTTCCCCAACCCTGGAAAAACAAAGAAAAAACTCACAACTTTATCTAAAATTACCTGACTTTGTGGAGTAGAAGCAGAATTTCCAGTTGAAGGTCTCACTTTTGAAGTTTTACTTAGGGCTTTCTTTTGCTGTAAAGCCATAGCATACTTACTTACAGCATTCCGATATTCCTTATCATGAAAGAGAGAATCCGAATGATACACCAAAAGCTGATACTTCTGAGATGGGGAGAATAACTCACTAGAAAACAAAGAAAGTACACCCCCTACGTGGGTTATTTTGAAATATTAGAAAGAACACCTTAGTGTTCATATAAGTCTAGCACAAAGCTTTGAATAATGGCAGTTTAAAAAATGTTAATACACCTTAAGGGCCTGTCCCTAAACTGAGAGACATGAGAAATAAACCCTATGTTACTATAACCAACATATCTAGGATACTGCCTTAAATTGCTGGGGGGGGGGGTTTTGTTTTGGTTTTTTTTGGGTTTTTTGTTTTGTTTTGTTTTTGAGAGAGAGAGAGAGAGAGAGAGAGAATTTTTTTTAATATTTATTTTTCAGCTTCCGGTGGACACAACATCTTTGTTTGTATGTGGTGCTGAGGATCGAACCTGGGCCACAAGCATGCCAGGCGAGCGTGCTACGGCTTGAGCCACATCCCCAGCCCTAAATTGCTGTTTTAATGTAACTAAAATTGTTCTTTATTTAATATAAATGCAATGATATCTATAAAAACCGAATACAGATATACAGAAAAAAAGTATCTTTTCCTCCCCTTTTTTGCTCCAAACCCTTTTAACAGTCTGATATATATTCATCCACAAGCTCCTAACATCAAGTTTTAAGGATAATACTAACAAAGGAGAGCAATCACAATGACAACTAATACTACCAAAAAAGGGCTGAAGACCTGGAAAAGAGAAACTTCACCCCTCCTTCCTAGGAAGGGGATGAATAAAGAGAATTGGACCTCAAAACTCTTGAAATACTGAAGAAAATATCAGTCTGAGAATAGAATGAAACAGCAAATGGGACAGAGTGGGACAGAATGAGGACTGACTATGTTTGATAGTCTTTTTATTTTTAATATTTATTTTTTTATTTTTTTAAGGTGGACACAATATCTTTGTTTTTATGTGGTGCTGAGAATCGAACCCAGTGCCTCACGCATGTTAGGCGAACATGTTACCACTTGAGCCACATCCCCAGCCCCAAAGTCTTTTTAATTTTACATGCAAAAGTAAACTTTTAAGACTTTGGATGTAGCTCACTGGTAAAGCATTTGCCTAGCATGTATGAGGTTCTAGGTTTGATCCCTAACACCACAAAACAAATAAATTAAAAAGGAAGAGTAAACTTTACTCGCACTAGAAGCATCCTTTTTTTTTTCCTCTCTCTCTCTTTTTGCACGATACTGGGGATTGAATCCAGAGACATTCTACCACTGACGTACACCCCAGTCCTTTTTACTTTTTGACCCAGGGTCTAAGTTGCCCAGGCTGGCCCCAAACTTTGAATCTTCTTGCCTCAGCCTCCTGAGCTTCTGGGATTACTGGCATGAGCCACCATGCCTGCTCAACAGAAGCATTCTTATCCCCTTAAGTCTCAGGAATTTTAAGACAATTAAAGGAACTGGTATGTTTCAAAACTATTTCTTTAACCTTCAATATGTTCACAAACATTATAACTGTCTGGCTACCATTCTCTTGCTTTTTATAGTGCTGAGGATCAAATGAACCCAGGACCTCTTTATGTCAGGCAAGCAGTAGCTGCACCCCTAACCCCAACCTCCTTTTTTTGGGAGGGTGGGGAGTGGATATTGAACCCCAGAGCACTTAACCACTGAGCCACATTCCCAGCGTCCCCTTTTTAAATATTTTTTAGTTGTCAATTAATCTTTTATTTATTTATTTTTATGCGGTGCTGAGGATTGAACCCAGGGACTCATGCATGCTGGCAAGTGCTTTACCACTGAGCCACAACCCCAGCCCCCTTAGCCCTTTTTTGTATTTTATTTAAACAGTGTCTCACTGAGTTGCTCAGGGCCTTGCTAAGTTGCTGAGGCTGGCTTTGAACTCACGATTCTCCTGACTCCTTCCACTCCTCCTTCTCAAGATAAATTTACACTTTTGTGTGTGTATTTATGTGTGTGTATGTGTGTGTGGTGCTGGGAATTGAACCCAGGGCCTTGTGCATGCAAAGCAAGCACTCTACAATTAAGCTATATCCTCAGCCCAAATTTACACACTTTTGACAGATAAAAACCATAACTGCTTAAAATGAAAGGACAGAGTCAAAGAACTTTGTATACAGTTAATATGCCAACAAACCAAGGTATATCAAGAACAGGTACAAGGGGATGGGGCTGTGGCTCAGTGGTGGAACGCTTGCCTAGCCATGTGTGAGGCACTGGGTTTGATCCTCAGCACCACATAAAAAATAAATAAAATAAAGGTATTATATCAAAACTACAACTGAAAAATGTTTTTTAAAAAAGAACAGGTATTGGGCTAGGGATGTGGCTCAAGAGGTAGCGCGCTCACTTGGCATGCGGGCGGCCCGGGTTCAATCCTCAGCACCACATACAAACAAAGATGTTGTGTCCACAAAAAATTTAAAAAATAAACATTAAAAAATTCTCTCTCTCTCTCTCACACACACTCTCTCTTTAAAAAAAAAAAAAAAAAAGAACAGGTATCATAGATTAGTGACTGCCAGGGTAAAACGGATGGGGGAATGACTGGTAAGAGATTTCTTTTGGAGATGATGAAATGTTCTGGAATTAGTGGTACAACACTATGAATACCCTAAAACCCATAGAACTGTTTTTTGTTTGTTTGTTTTAGTATTTTGTTTTTCAGTTGTAGTTGGACACAATACTTTTCATTTTTATGTGGTGCAGAGGATCGAACCCAGCACCCCACATGTGCTAGGCAAGCACTTTACCGCTGAGCCACAACCTCAGTCCCCAGAACTGTTCTCTTTAAAATGATTAATTCTATGATATGTGGATTATATCTTTGAAAAAAAAGGGGGAGGTACTGGAGATGTAGTTCGCTGGTAGAGTGATTGCCTAGCATGCACAAGGCCTGGAGATTCCCAACAATGCCCCTGCCCCCCCCCCACCACCACCACCACCGAAAAAGGATAGCAGGCTAAACACTGGATATAAAGTTATAAGGAAAATTCAAGGAGGACTGGAGTTGTAGCTCAGGAGAGTGTTTGCCTAGCATGTGTGAGGCAGTGGGTTCAATCCTCAGCATCACATTAAAATAAAGGTGCTGTGCCCATCTACTATATATACTTATTTATATATGAAAGAAAATTCGAAGAGTAAAAGGGATAGTTCAGATGACTTAAGAGCTTTTCCAACACCCAGATTCAATGTATTCAATGAGCAGTAACTACTTTTTTGTATTCAGTGATAAATAATCATTTGATAAATATTACTACATCCACAGGAAGCATTCAGATACTTACATAACATACTTGCCTATTATACACTTACACACACACACACACACAATCTCTGGAATGATACATGGAAAACCTAATAGTTGTTGCCTCTGGAGAAGAAAAATGGTGGCAGGAAGGTTCAAGACTCAGAGATTGATCTGCACACAAATTCTCTACTGATTAATTTTTTTTCAGTGTATGTATTGCCTATTCAATGAATTTCAAAATATAATAATGATAAAAGATCAGAACTTAAACATTTGCTGAAACTAAGAACTGCCAATCTAACCTAATGTGAAAAAGCTCAGGCTAACTAAACTTAATCTAGCCAAATCACCAAACTGCTTCAAACTATCCTGTCACATCATCAATAACCAAGAGTAATGTAAAGTGTATTAATCCCCAGAAGTGAAAACTTGATGCTCTGAGAAATCACTCAGAACCAAGTAAAAGTCTCCAGAATAAACACAAAAGGCAGACAGAGGCCAGTGTTCCTCACTGTCAACACTAAGTAGATGGCCGTAAAGGATGATTTTAACCACTGAGGCCCAAAGCGCACTAGTGGAAGTGAAATAGGGCGCAGCCACTGCACTGCAGGCACTTCACAGCCCTTTCCTCTCTGACCTGGACCACCTTCTAGAGCAGGCCAAACACAAAAGGGTGCAGAGTCGATTTCATTATAATGCTATAAGGAGGCAGCAGACTGTGGGGGTCAGAATGGAGACTTCTGTACCTACTAGATGTGTGAACTTGATCAAAGTACTTCACTTCCCTATCTCCATATGCATGTCCTTAGCACATCAGCACAGAGCTATGGCATGGGCGCTGTGCTTCTTCAAAATAGGGCAACTGTACTTTTGGGGTCAGAGTGGCTAAGAGGGTATCTGAGCTGAAACCTAAACCAGGAGGCAGCCCTGAGGTGAGGATTCCAAACAGCAAGTACAAGAGCCCGACTTGAGAGCCTGCTTATGCGGTCCAGCACCAGAACACAGAGCCCAGGAAGCCAGGGCACTGGGGAAGAGATGGGATGGGGAAGGCAGGTGGGGCGGAAGCTCAAGGATGAACCCTGTGCTTCACCTAAGACTTAATACACGGCAGCGAAAAAGGAAGGGAACGCGGCTCTCACAGCTCCCAAGTCCTTAAAATTAGGCGCCACTCCCCTGCCCCATCAACGAAACCTCCCGTTTATAGGGGGTTCCAAGGTTAAAAGAGCGGGCCCTGCGGGGGAAAATACCCATCTCAGATGTAGGACAAGGACATAAAAACCAGGGCACTGGGTCAGAGCGGCAGCGAGAGAAAACCCGTTCTTGGGAAGGAGCCGGGAGGGGAGGATTCAGCCCAGCGATGCGACAATCGCTTTATCCTGCAACAGAAGCCTCAGGAAACCCTTCGCTCCCAACTTGTGGGAAAGCGCCGCCAGCGTGGACCTCGGCCTCCGCCTTCCATTCTCCGGAGCCAGCGCTCGCCACATCCTCGGCGGAAGCGCACCGCGGCGCCGGCCCCCGGGACACTACTCGCGTTCCCGCGTCGGCTGTCAGCGGAGGCCGCGGCTGACCGAGGATCCCGCCAGAATACCGCCTCGGCCCCGGCTCCCAAACCGCCGCCGCTCTCCTCAGGCCAGGCCGCTCCCCGCCTCAACTCACGGGTTGTTATTACTCATTGTAAGTAGCAAGCTGCTGAGAAGCCGCACGTTGGAGTGTAGCCCCGCGGCCGCCATGTCCCGCACATGGTCTATCACATTCATTCTGCCCGGCAAAACCGCAGGCAGTTGCGGCTGTAGCGGCGCGAAAAGCCGGCAGACAATTTTTCCTTTCCGAAGACTCCAAAATGGCGGCGCCGCCGGGGTCCATCGGGTCCACACGCGGCACCGCCCCCAAGGAAATAGGTAACTGCGGAGGTGCCTGAGTAAAAAGCAGCTCAGCGGCTCGCTACTCCCGGGAGCTGGGGGGTAGGAGGGTTCGTTGTTTTTACGCAAAATTACATCATCGTCCTAAACTGCAAACTTTGCGGTGGGCGTACAATGGGACGAAAGGCACCTCAGTAAGGATATTGAAGTGAGTCTGGGGGAGTCTGTGTATCTCCGAAATTTAAAATATATTGGCATTTATCATAATAAAAGCAAATGGAGTGCGGGAAAACTTTGGAATAGGCGCCAAGGGCGGACCTAACTGCTTTTGCAGTCGCGCGTGCGCACCAGCCGAAGGCGCCACACCCCCTCCGCCCGCCACACCCCCGAGACTTTTGTGTGTCTGACAGTTTCAGGCTTCTCGCCTTGAATCCAGAGCCTGATACCCGGTGAAATGACTCACTGGATTAGTGTGAATAAAATATAGGCCCAAGCATGAGTTGGTAGCCCTTTTAACCAGAGTTTGTCTCGTACAGTTAACATTTCACAAAAAGTTTTGCACTAGTGATTGCATCGGATGCTCATAAACAAGCCACAGAGTTGAAACTGACATTCCGTCTTTGCAGATGAAGAAACCGAAGATGCCTGCTTGAATTTTGGGCTCAGGTTTGTAAATGGTTGGACTTGGAGTGAGATGTTCTGACTTCAGATTCCTAAATTACACAGATAAACCTACTGCATCGAAAACTCAAGTGTATATAAGGACCAAGTAGGTAATTGAATGAGGCCCCTTATTTCAATTTTTTAAAAATCGGAATTTTTTTCACTATTACTACCTGCGTTCAACTATAATGGTTTGTCACCCATTTCTTGAAGGAAACACATATCTTAGTCTATGTTTCATTTGATTCCAAAGAAACAGGTGCAAAGAAACACATATACCCATTGGGTGTGGTGGTGCACACTTATAATCCCAGAGATTCCGAGGCTGAGGCAGGAGGATCACACGTTCCAGGCCAGCATGGGCAATTTAACAAGACCCTGTCTCAAAATAAAAATAAAATGAATGTAAAGGAGTCCGGGGTGTAGCTCAGAGGTAGTATGTCACAGAGTTCAATCCCCAGTACTGTGCAAAAAGAAGAAGAAAAAGAAATACAGTGGCTGCGGTTGGGGCTCGGTGGTAGAGTACTTGCCTAGCATGTGGTAGGCACTGGGTTCTATTCTCAGTACCAAATATAAATAAATAAATAAAGGTCCATTAACAACTAAAAAAAATTTTTTTAAATACATATACAGGGCTGGGGCTGTAGCTCAGTGGCAAAGCGCTTGCCTAGCATTTGTGAGGTACTGGATTAGATCCTCAGCACCACATAAAAATTAACAAATAAAATAAAGGCATTCTGTCCATCTACAACTATAAAAATTTTTTAAAAATACATATATAGGGCTGGGGTTGTGGCTCAGTGGTAGAGTGATCGCCTCGCATGTGTGGATTCGGTCCTCAGCACCGCATAAAAAAATAAATAAAGATATTGTGTCCATCTACAACTAAAAAATAAAAATAATAAAAAAAAAACATATACAGGGATGGTGCTGAGGTTGTGGCTCAATAGCAGAGCACTTGCCTATCATGTGTGAGGCACTGGGTTCAATTCTCAGCACCACATGTCAATGAATAAAGGTCCATCAACAACTAATAAAATATTTTTAAAAAATGAAGGTCTTGCTAAATTGCCTCAGCTGATCTTGAATTTACAATCCTCCTGCCTCAGCCCCTCAAGTAGCTGGGATTACCAGCCAGCAGGAGTATCCCTTTTCTAAAGGGGCAGCAGCAAGTCAACTTCATTTTTCAGTCTCTTGGTCTCATGTGGAAATGACCCATATCTTTTGACTTTTCAAGAGAAGTCATAATCATGGAAAAGTGTAATTTAGCTTACGTGGTGGTATGTGTCACTGGGGCTTTCGCTCAGCACCTTTTGATCTACCAGTGGCCACAGGCTACTCCATGAGGGCAGTTGGGAGAGGAAGTCAACAAAGAAACAAATAAAATTTGCTGGAGGGGCTGTAGCTGTGGCTCAGTTGAAGAACCCTCACCTAGCATGATGAGGCAGTGGGTTTGAGCCTCAGCACCATATAAAAATAAATTCAAGATATTGTGTCCATCTATAAGTAAAAAAAATAAAAATAAAAATAAAGATTCTCTGGAGAGCAGCCTAGGCCAGAATCTCCAAGTTATTCCAACCCTTTGTCCGTCCCCACACATCCAAAGGCAAACCAGGTTAGAGACACTGTAAACTCACACACAAGACACGCTCTGAGCCTTGATAGGATAATGAAAAATGGCTTTGGCAGAACCCAATATTCCTGACCCGCAGGACAGGTGATTAGGAGCCACCTAGGCTGTGAATCCTGTCACCTGAGTCCTGTAGAATGGCAGCTTGCACTAAGTGCCTTTATTTAGCTGACAGGTATCCATTATCCTCCAGAAAGAAAGAAAGAGACAAAAAGATGCATCTCAGAAAGATGTGGGTTGTGGAGGAGCACCCATCTGAAACCGGTCTTGAAAATCTGGATCAGGTCTCCATTCCCCTGGTGTTGAAGATTGAACTGAGAAACACCAAGGCAAGAGCAAAAAATTTTATATAAATAGTATGGAGAGAGGGAGGTGCAGGGAAGGGACAGAGGGAAAGAGGGAGAGTCCTCTGGAGAGGAGGGGGGTCCAGAGCTGGTGCCCCAGGGAATGGGGGTGTCCTACTCCTTTTATAGATTTTTGGTTTCCTTTCTTCTTATGTCCCAGATGGAAAAGTCCACATAATCTCTGACTCCATTTACATGAAAGATCCAGGAGAGATAAGCCCACAGGGACAGAAAGTAAATTAGTAACCATTGGCTCTTGCCATGGCTGGCTTCTGGCTTTGGCACTTCACTTTTCCTGGGGGATCCCACCAGCAGGAGGTCAGAAAGGAAAACCAGCAGCAGAGGATGAGAGGGAATAGCCAATGGTGTGGGACAAAAGGAGAGGGTGGTGTGCTGGAGGCCAAATGAAGGCTCTGGGTCCAAAAAAGGAGGAGTAGCCAGTCATGCCGCACCGGGCAGAGGTCAAGGAAGGGGAGAGTGGCCCTAGGATCTAGCAACACGGAGGTCACTGGTAACCTCGAAAATGACATTTTTGGTAGAGAGGTGGTCAAGATAGGATGGGAGGAGACACAGCTGAGACGGAACAGATGGATAACTCCTTTGAGTTTTGCTGCAGAGTGGTGCTTCTCCACTAGGGGTGATCATTTCCCCCAGGGGACATTTGACAATGTCTTGTTAACAAAATATCAATAGAGTCGCGCTGAGGCCCGAGGTGGAGGAGCCCAGAGCCCACCTATGCTGTGGGGGTAGCGCCCTGGCGGCGGGGCTGCAGGTCCCCGCTGGCGGGTCCGGGCTCGCAGGGTCCAGGAGGCAGAGAAGGGTCCTGTTCAGGATGTGGTGGCCTCAGCCTGGGACCCGGACTTCTGAGGCGAAGAGATGGCTCGACCAGCAGGCCCCCTCCAGAGTGGGAGGGCGACGGATGAGCAAAGTGTGACCTGGGGAGAGGGAGGCCGGTTTAAAAGACCTGGGATGTGGTAAAAATTGCTGTGATCATAATGGCTCTCAAAGGATGCTTCAACTTCAAAACATCAGAGGAACAAGAAATGGCCCCAGCTTAATTTTCATCCAAAAAAATTCTGAGACTTCTATTTTTGACAAAATGCTTTTGTTTCCATTTTTAAATGATATATTGTTAGAAACTTGCATGAAATATCAAAAAGCGCTAAGTCACAAAAACTGGGTTAAAAAGATCCATTGAAATAAAGCACAACAGGGGGGGCTGGGGTTGTGGCTCAGAGGAAAAGTGCTTGCCTAGCATGGGTGAGGCACTGGGTCCGATTCCTAGCACCACATAAAAATTAAATAAAGGTATTGTGTCCACCTACAACTAAAGAATAAATGTTAAAAAAAAAAAAAGAAAAGAAATAAAGCACAACAGAAACTGCATCGTGTAAGGGACTGTGAGATTCCTAAGGGAAGCACGTTGGGTTTCTTGTACATGTGTGGCAATGGTGGTCAGTAGTCTTCATAATTGACACTGGCTCCATGCCTAAAGCTATGGGGGCTCCGGGGTCCAATGGCAGAGTCTTCATCATAGTGACATTGGTAGTAATCGCCATAGTAGTCATGTCCATTTCGATCTCTATTTAACCAATAGGTGATGTCATCTCCAAATTTCTGGAGGAAAAGAGAAAGAATGATGGAGAATGGATTTAAAGACACACAGTCCCCTAAAAATCACATCTTACCAGTGGATTTTCTCGATGGTGGATTTTCTTCAATGATTAACAACCCTTACTATAAATAACTGTCTCCTTCTAATGTTCTTATACACAGATGTCAACATGACCAGATACCAAAAAGGGGTATTTTCCCTCAAAAGATTCTATGTCTACACCTTTTGTTGTACTAGTTGTAAATATACCAAGACCCAGCAATAGAAAATAGACTAAACCAAAAAAAAAATTTTTTTTCAATAAATACAGATCACTTCCCCCCCACACACTTTTTGTTGATACTGGGAATTGAACTCAGGAGGCTCTCTATCACTGAGCTACATCCCCAGCCCTCTACCTCGGCAACTTAGCAAGATTCTGTCTCAAAATTTTAAAAAAGAGTTGGGGTGTAGCTTAATAATAGAGCACTCCTGGGTTCAATCCCCTGCAATAAACAAATACATAAAAAGATCCAGTTGGTTTTTATTAGTAATTAATGAATTGAGCAGCCTCTGTTCTAAAGATTTGGAAAGGTGCTCTGCTGAGCTGAGCAGCGGAGTGTGGTTTTATCAGCAGAATAGGGATGGAGAAATAGAAATAAAGAACAAAATGTGGATTGAGAGCTGTGAGTGTAGCTACATGGTAGAGTACTTGCGTACCATTCATGAGGTCCTGCTCTGTACCAAAAAAAAAAAAAAAAAAAAAAAAAAAC